GCGACGAGACCGACTCAGCAACCCTAACTGACCCCCCCCGTAAGAACCGTGTTAATCCTACCTTTGGCGTTCCCCATCGCCCGAAGTCGCGGTTGCCGTGTGCCTCCCGCTGCGAGGCCAAACTCTCTCGCTGCGTCATTGGAAGATCCCCCGGGGCCTGCCTAACTCACCTTAACTTAGCAACACATCAATATATCGTCTCAGTGCCGCTCACAAGTCATCATCGTCCAGATTTACGAGCACGTCTTGCCGCGCAGGGCAGCGCGCATCGCCCTTGTCAGATTGCTGGTACGTACAGAAGGGGACTTTGGATTTATTGGATGGATGCCACGTCGAGACCCTGCATTTAGACTTGCCATGTGCCTTAGTGCGAGCGCGCGCGTGCATAATTAGGGAGAGACGGAGGGAGGCCAGCAATCATAGTAAGCAAGCTGCGCCCAGCGACGACGCAGGAGACGGGAGTTCTGGGCAGTTTTCTTACTGTAGCCCACCTGCCTACTACCTCACTCACCTTGTCAACGATGAAGTTGGCCGAATCTTGGAAGCTTGGGACTTGTTTCTCTGCGACTCTGCCACTTCGCGTCTCGCCATCTCCCACCCGGCCCAGTCACCCGTTGATTGATCTTCAGATTAGATGCTCAGCCGAGCAACATGCACCGAGACCCGCGGCCGCCGCCAGCCAACCACGGCGCCTCGATCCCGATATGTTGTATTCGCAGTCGGGTTTCCATTTCATCACAGCTGTGCAATCGCCCCGTTTGTTAATGTTCCGTGATCCATCATCTCCTCCCCGTCAGCCTGGGCTGGCGCCCCCCGAGGAGTCAGAACCAGCCCATCTCAGCGTCCCTGGCTCATTGCTTCATTGCCAAGGCTCCAGCTGCGACTTGCTGTGTCCTCCGTGAAACAGGAGTGCCTTCGTCCCGGGCTGCCCTAAGTTTCTTTTCCTCGTGAAGCTGCGAACCGACTTCAGCCCGCCGGTTCGAAACAGGCGGACCCAGGACCGGGCTATCCATATCCAATCCACGGTGTTGTCAGCCAGTCCGGCCCCCTATTGCCCACCGTCAATTTCAGAATCTCTCCCCACGAGCTCCTCGGCAGCAAATCTCTCTGCCGCAGGTTCAATTTTTCTTAGCCTCGTAGAACGTCGTGCCGGCGCCCCGAAGGCCCCAGAGATCTTCATAATTCTCCGCTGGGAAGGCCAAAGGCCAAGGCCGGACACGGGGCTTTCACCCATCTGGCATCAGGCGCTATTTCCAGACACGAAGGTGAGAGACTTCTTCTTTCTGCCAGTGGCGACGACCGTTTTCTGACTTTCGGTGCCGAGGTGAGTAAGGTGAGCCTGGCGACAGCCAAAAGGGGAGGAGGGCGCCATGCCGCGCCGCAGCCCGCAACGTTCCATGACCCCGAACCCACCGGACTGTTTTTTTCTTTCGCAGCCCGCCTGCATGCCCGCGCCTCACGAGATCAAGGCTCGCTGCAACCACGAAAGCTAGACGGACCGATCGCCAGTCCCCGGGGGCGTAGGTACGGTACTGTAGTCCGGATACTCGTATCCAACTGGCTGGGTTGCCTCTGCCTTACAGTTTACTCACTCAACCCATCCCGCCGGCGGCTGTCAGAAGGTGGCTGTGCATGATGCTGGGGCCTGGGCAAGAACAGCACAATCGGGTACCTTAGGATGTGGTCTCTGCTTCGCTCATCATCCATCAACCCCGAGTCCATCAACCAGCCCTGCGGTGTGGACTTTGGACAGAGTTCTCGCTTGCACGGGCGCTTCTTTGCTCAAAACACGACGGGACAGGCCGATCCCAGCTTCGAAACGTCACTCAGCCCACCGCTACCTTCGCTTTCTCCTTCTTGCTCATGACTTGTGTGAATGGAGATCGATGGGGTCGGTTTGTCATGCCGAACCCGCCTTCCCCTCTGCCAGCCCGTGGAGACAATGTCTCTCGTTTTTGCTGACATTTCGCGTCACCTGATGCGCTTCATCTTGCCTTGGAGATATTGAAATCTTGGGTATCCGTACGGTCTCTCCACACGGTTTTGTGGAGGAGGCGCAGGGCTTGCAGGCTTGCAGCGCCCTCGGCCGCTGAACCTGTATCGACACCGAGTTGCTGGGCAGGTATCACGGCATGTTGATGGGCGGCGGGTATTCAAAGGCTTGCAGAGGTAGCTTGAGACTGACATCTTGCGGGTGAAAGCCACATCACGCATGTTATTGTTTGTCCAACCAGACCACTCGGCACTTGCCACGCGATGCTGCAGGCTGTTAGACCCAGATCAAGTCCAAGGGGGTCCCCGACTCTGGAGGTAGTTGTCCTCAGCCTTCCGCCAACAAAGAAGCCGCCAGAAATAAACACATAAACGATGTCAACAACGTACCATGAGGAAAACCTGCCAGAGTCTAGTCATGGAATCAAGCGGGAAGCCAACCACCATAAACGCCGTCAGGGCGGTCCCCTGAAGACAGACTAAAAGAGAGCGCCACTAGCGGCAAAGACATCTCTAAAATTAAACCCAGGAGGGCCGCACCCGCCCATCCCCGCCCGTATCGCCAGGCTCCGAGAGGCGTACCATGCCAGATGGAGCATCTGTCACCCTTCGCTAATCTCGAAGAGACCTCGCAGGCTCGCAGAGTGCTGTGAATGCAGACACCTGCCCTCTGCAGCATCTTCTCATGTTGCCCCTCTCGTCATTAGTCGCCGCTGCGTGGTCTCTCTCTTTCTCAAGTCCGGTGACCTCACTCAGCCTTATGACTCTTGTTTCTCTAGATACGCCCATAAAACCTCGTAAAAAGCGGTAGAACGGCTCCATATCCGCACGTCGGGTCCGAGGGCCACGCACGGCGTCTCCGACCGGTTCCCACTGGCGCGGGTCGCCAGCTGGTGATACGATCGCTTAGTTTTGTTTGGCGACCTGATCAACCCAAACACTAACACACCCTCTCCAATTCTATCCACGCGCGTGGGTGCTGCCATGGCCTGTATGATCCTTCAGGCAATCAACCACCTAACAATCTCATTTGTCAGTAGCCTTTCGTGGCAGCCGTTTCCGTAGCGCTTTAGGCCATGTGCTGTTCTCGTCTAATTAGACTACTAAGCCCTCGAATCCAGAGGATTTTCCGTGCCGCGTCTAGCAGGAATGAACAATAGCCACCCACCGCTATTGAGTCAGGGGCAGTGGCCAAAAATGGGCGAGAGTGATCATTTAGTGAGGTCTCTAGCTCGCTCTTCTCATTCAGGCTGTCACCGTTTGTTCTTGGCATGAGGCGTCTGTGGCCGATGATTCGCTGTCATCCGAACCCCCCGTTGAAGATGCTTTGACCTCGAAGCTGATGCTGAGCTCAGACGATGGTGAAGCTTCGATCCTTCCGTCAAATCAGGAATCTCTCCGGAAGGCATGGGAAAGCATTCGGCTCCGTGCAATTTGATCTTTTGCAGCCTTCTGGCTTTGGATTCGCCGGTTCGGTCAATCGCGCAATGTGGCATTGACAGATTGGCTTCCGATGCAGCGATCCTTCTGCAGATGCACTCCTCTTTTCCGTTGATTCGAATCCCATACGCATGAACACCACAAAAGCACAACTGAGACGGATGCTATTAATCTGGGAATGGCCTAGACAACATATGCGGCTGAGTTTGCATTTGATGCTTATTGCTGCTGCCTTGGTGTGACGTTGTATGCTCCCCAACCACTCTATCCATATTGATGAAGGAAGGGAGGAATGCATACATGCACGCTAGTGTTCCCCGGCTATTGTTGTTGCACAAGATCGCTCCAAGGCTTGCAGATGCCGAATCGCGGGCGGCTGACGCGGCTGCGATGGCGCTGGTGATGTGGTGGTACACAAGAGGACCTGCCTCTTTGCAATGAGCTGAACCTTGAATGGCAGCAATCACTTGTTAAGATGACTTGACTACAAGAAACCCTCGTGTGCCACTAGGCGAAAATTCAACACCAACCTCGCGCCGTTAATTCAACCCTATTTTGGCTACCGAAGAGTCCGCATAGCAACCGTGATACTGAGGAATGCCAATATTGTAATCCCAGTCTGTAAGCTGTTTCACGAACGTCAGCTTATATGATTTCGTTTTATCGATGAAAGATTGCCGGTACTCTGAGTGAAGACTTATACTGCAATCTTCAGTATATGTAATATATGATAGCGCCATAACATCGTTGAAAATGCCAAGAATGATCTTTCCTTGATGTCTTGATGAGCCGAAGTTTGGAACATGCCTCTCCTCATCGGCTCAAGCATACATGATCCCCGTAACTACTTCGATGCTCCCACCAAGGACTCCATCTTTCGTTCAAGGGCTGTCGCCAACAGTCGTTATTTCCCCGTTCAAGGGGTGATGTAGAAAAGTCAGCACCGCGAGCGACTTCCGATACATACAGGAGTGGAAGCGTGGTTTGACACCCTTAATGAGGAATCAAGGGAGATCCGTGTGCCAACCTCGCGGGTTCATTCAGTTACCTAATGGCCCCGTCCTAACTCACGGCAACCTCAAACCAGATGATAGCAATGCATACATAGAAGAGGGGAAGACGGAGGGAGGTGAGTTTTGCGGCCTTTGGCAACCGGTCGCAAGCTGGCTATCACCCAGTGTGCTGAGAACTGACCAAAACATCGCAGAAAGCCCGAGGCGTGTTTTCTTTCACGAAGGGATGATAGAGATTTATGTGGAAACGTACTGAGCCGAACCCCTGATCTTGAAGTACGCACACAATCTGGTCTGGTGAAGTAGCTATCCAGAAGGGAGCTTTACTATGTCTAGGGGCGCAGTTTTGGGCGAATTAATGCCCTTCCATGATAAATTCGGTTCAGTGACAAGTTTATGCAAGAAAATTGTCAAGAAATATTTGCCCCCGAGGTTTCAAGATGCCGGAGGCTCCCTGTGGAGACCTGTCAATCCGGATCACAAAACCTCAACTTTCAACCCCGCATCACCACCTCCGGTCGGACTTCGACATGTACCTCACCTCCTCGGTCGAAGATGTTCGAATCACCAAGTTCGCCGCAGCTCGCAAACGCAAGTAGCGAGCCGCGTCAGGCACTTCACACATTTCCACCGCCCACCATCTTCCCGCCTCTGAGGCAGCCCCACAACCAGACCATCATCTTCCTCCACGGCCGGGGCTCCAGCGCTCGCATCTTTGCGCCCGACCTTCTTGATACCTCTGTTGCTGGACTGGAGACGGACAATGGTTCCAAATCGCTGAGAGAGTCCCTACCAAACACTAGATTCGTATTCCCCACGGCGCCACGGTCGCGGGCGACTATCTACAGGCGATCCATCATCAACCAATGGTTTGATGGGAGCGGTGATTGGGAGGAGACTGTTCTGGGTCATGCGAAGGAGACCATCGAGTTTTTGCATCGCCTTTTGAGGGAAGAAGTCTTGCTTGTCGGCGGCGCAGATAGAGTCTTTCTGGGCGGCTTTAGTCAAGGATGCGCAACCGCTCTTGTCTGCATGCTGCTCTGGGAAGGTGATTCTCTCGGTGGCATCGTGGGAATGTGTGGGATGCTGCCTATGGGCGGCGGTCTCCGCGACATTTTGCGTCAGGGCGACTCTGGTCAAGAAGGTCTAGAGTATCACGGTACCAGGCAGGAAAGAAATGTTGATATCGGGGAGGATATCCTTGAACCCACAGGCGATGACAACTGGGACCCCTTTTCTCACGAGGAAGATAGCTCGCAAGCCACTCCGCTGATACAGGCCTTGGACCTTCTACGGGAAGAGATAGGTTTTCCGCGACTGGAATCCAACTCAGAACCTCGCGTACATGAAATTCCTGTGTTTCTTGGTCACGGTACCGAGGATGATAACGTGCTGCTCCGGTACGCTGAAGACGCCTCGAGCGTATTACAGATGGCGGGGTGCGAGGTCATTTTCAAGAAATACGAGGGGCTTGGTCATTGTCATTCCCCACAAATGCTACGGGACATACTTGAATTTCTGGCTAGAGAGAAAGTTTGCTAGAACAGGCGCAAGCGGGGGACGCTTGCTCAGTTCTCAAAGCAGATTGTAACGGTTTCTCACGGAGATGTCGTTGAATTAGAAACATAGCCTAAGATCGATATGTGCGTGGGCAGACAAGCAACATGTGTAGCACGTGTCTCTGACTATCCCAAGAAGTCGGTTCGAGCTTACTACAAATGGGCAAGGCTTCGTCCAGGTTATTTCTCTTTGGTCTGGTTGAACCTGGGGAAGAGACGCGGGGTGTGGGGGCTCAAGGAGGCAAACCGAGGTTGGCCGTGGGGTTGGAAAGCACTGATATGGTCTGCTGAAGCTTCCCTCTCAGCCTAGTAGTCCATCTGTTTCCCGGGAGGAATTCAAGTAGACCACTTAACCGCCAATAGTTGCAGCACTGAAGGGGATCTGAAGCAACATGTTGAACCGAGGTCAATGAATACCAAGAGGAAGGCTTTCAATCGCAATCGAGAAAGAGATGTTGGGGAATGTGACTATTCCTCATCATGAACACCAAATGTCTCATGTTGACTGCCTCTCACGCTCACGATCATGTTGAGGCTGGTTCCTCGATGGGTAAGAGGCAACACATTCTAGCTTCGTCGTCTGATTGACCCCTGAGCCTGGAACAACCCCGCAATTGAATTAGCATGGTTTCCTCCAGCGGACTAAGCAGGAGAAAACAATAATTCGAGAGAATTACTTATGCGGGGTGAGAGAACTACAGCATCATGGGGTCACCGGAGGTAACGATCTATGTATGGGTTGCGGCTACTCCTTCACTCCTCACCCTCACCTTCGAGGCTAGATCGTGTGAGAACTCGCAATGAACGAGAGACACGTGTAGAAAGGCATGATTGACTCAGGTCATCTCGGCACGAGACGGCTTAGCCACGAAGGATTCTGATACGCTTCATGCTGGGCACGGAAAAGGCTTCCACAAGAATAGTCATAGACGCGGACCTGTCGCCTTCTAAGAACGAGTGGCACTCGGAATCCGAAGTGACTCTAGCACAGTTTCTTGTTTTCTCCGAAAAGAAATCGAGCCACAAACTGGAGCCAAGACTCTTGACCTGAAGGTAGTCTGGCTCCGTATTGTACCAGGCTTTTGGGTCAACGACGCATGACGTCCCGCCCCCGGATTTTCCTGAAGGGTGCAGACGTGGCATAAGAGGCTCGTTGCTGATCATTGAGGGCGTGAAATAGTACCGGAGAGATGGCACGTCTTGTAAGTAAGGTCTCATCATCGAGGTATTCTTCGACACGTAGCAGCTGCACCATTGGTTCCGTCTTTGAACTATAGCCATACCGAATCAAAAGAGCAACTACAAGACTGAGGCCATTGCCTTGTCGCAAAATCTGGCAGTCTCTACGTCAATATCGAAAGGGAGGCCCCTCATTCGAACATAATGATCGATTACAGAACCGGATCTAAGGACACAGATGTGCCTTACAACTGGAGAGCACAGCGTGCGGGGGCATCCGGACGCCCGCCTTGGGTAATGGTGTTGTAACCCGGGGTGAGATTCATGCAGCCGGCAGAGGAAAGGGAATGGTCCCGCGGCGCAGCTGATGGACGTGCAAGAGCGGCTGAAGGAGAACGTCCACATAATCCAGGTGGATTTCTGCAATATTATGGAGGGTCGGGGTCAGCAGACTGCTCCAACTATATCCGACAATACTAACGAGAACAGCTCGGGGTCTGGACCGATCGCACTTGAGCTAGACAAACACTGTGAGAGACTTGGTTGACTTACACTGTCAATTCGGCACGTACAAGGATGCCAAGTCTTCGGGCATGCCTACATTCGACTTTGTGGTCACGAGCGCATGCACGCATTCCAAAAGACGAGCCTGATTTGGAGGATTGCGTGCAGCTGTGTGCGTAGCATATTACGTAGCGTTGTCGGGGTGCAAAGGATGATGAATTCCCCCCAAACCCTGAAATTTGGAGGGTTATCCAAGAGTTATGGCGAAGCAGGCGTTTTTACTGTAATACTGCCATCAATGTGAGGGTTAGTCTGACTAGGCAGCCATCAATCCATGTCAACAATATCCTCAACAGTCTCATATAGTAGAGGATTTAGAGGCGTGAATGATTGAGGTGTGGTAGTTGTTGATTAGCTTCACAGCATGTCTGTTGGCTGAACCCTGCTACTTAGACTAGGGTCTGCCAAACCTCCACCCGAAATTAGCGAATGACGCCCTGTTCTGTTTCTCAATGAGGCAGAAAAGCGAAAGTGTGGAGATGGCTGGAAGGAAGGACCCATCCCGTCCACATGCGGATACCGTGATGCTCATGAGTGAGATTAAGACGAAGGCCGTTGCCTCGAGTTCTTCTTGGAGAGTTAATTGCGTACGCGTGTCGACCATTTCAATTGGAGAATAAGTTCTTTCCTGCATCCTGAGCGACATTGTGGTGTCGTCTTTGCTGAGAAGCCGGGATCAGCATCAGCACCGTGCCTGCGTCTAGTCTAAGTCCTGCTAACTTTCCTGCTTCCTCCCGCCTCCTGTCTCAGGGATCAACCTCACTCCTTCAATTGTGTGACACACAATGGTGACGACCGATGTTGGATTTGGCGCCTCACTCGCCATCTCACACTCCGTCGCGGAAACATCACGCTCAGTGCCCGAAAAAAAAAAGTCTTATTTGCCGCTGCATCATGCAGGTAGTCCCAGAAAATCTTCAGAGTCATATGACTGTCTCTCAGTCGATGCGGAGGTCCCACGACCCTGACCTACCGATAAGGCTCAGCCGAGCGATGAGAGCTCATGAATCAATGACTGGGTTGGCAGTCGCACAGTAAAGGGCTCCCGAATGGCAACGCTTCAATGATGTTGGCTAGGCTCTGAGGATGTCGGGAACAGTCCGACACCAACCCTCATCGGCCCAGGCTGATTCGTCCAAAAAGATATGTGACGTCTGTATTTGCCAAGCTGATCACCAGCCGCTGCTGTCAGTACCGCCTTTACCCGCACATCCATCACACTCACTCACTTTCGAATAGGTCACCAATGCTCCCGCAGACCGACGCAATGGAACCAACTTCATCACATGTAACGACCGGTCTCGATGATGGCTACTTCGCATTAATCCATGCATCTCATCCCAATCTGCCGCAAAGTACCTGGCTCGGTCAATAATTCACCGGTGAGAAACATGTTTGGCCCGAATTTCACCACGGGTCACGACGGAGTCCGAAATCTGCACGCAATCAGCCCCACGACACGACAGCCTCATTTCGCGATGCTTATCGCCAACGCACTCGACATACAGCATGTTCTTGACCGGTACTGATGAGTTGCTGCCACCCTAGGACAGGCCATCGACTCATGAAGACCGATGAGGGCGAGAGGCTCAACGAGTCGAACAACGGCCTTGACTAGATGTCACAGTGAAAGCACTCAAGTTTCTTCTATCAAAGTACGTCGAGAAGAAGACATTTCGTTTGGCGCGAAAAGTTGATGGATGGTGGGTTCGGCTCACAAAACTAAGCATAAGCGCCGGGCATCTCCATTGGCACCACATCACTTTCGACAGTCGCCATACCGCCCATCATCTGGTCCTGTAGCGAGCCCGACCGCCTCATGGGAGATGTGACAAGGCTCGAAGCACCTCGACATCTTGACATCTCGGCCTTCGCCCGAGTCGATTACCGAGTACCGAATGATTCCAAAGAGGCCGCCGCATCGAACGACAACGTGCCCAGTACCCGAGAAATCCCAATGTGGAAAATGGTAGCCGGTACAAGCGCTGCCTGCTACACACGTACTGCAGGCTTATGGATCTCACTGCCGCTCACAACAGCTCACCCCGCAACACATATGCTTGATCGCTTTGAGCTGATACCTTGACCTCATGGTTCGAGCCTTCTGTGATAGTTCCAACAATTTCCGTATTTGTCTCTATCCCGGCTATAAGGGCGGAAATGTTGACCATTGATCAAGCACACGAGATACCTTACGCATGTGTGAAAGCAGGACAGAAGACATTGGGTAAAATGTGCCCGGCGGGAGCTAACCCCCACACAAAAAGGTCGGGGACGTACCCCAGAATAATCGTCTTCTCTTCCCCAACCCATCCTGGCCTGATCTAGTCTTGCCAGCGCTGGATCTTGAACCTCCCACATACCATCTCAAGCATTAGAAAGCCCGGGGTCCATCTTAGCGCATGGCTAAGCGGTCGTCCTCCGCCGCACGTCTCGCACTGTGTCGCGGCATCCTGGTCTAGCCGCTCACATCTTTGCGATCCTGGTCGCTGCACTCCTTCGTACCACAACCGTTCAGGACAAGTCAACGCTCGACGTATGAAGAATGACTCTTGATGCTTCATTGCTGGCATGGCGCGTCTTTCTCTTCCTTGCGTGATTCCAACAGAAATCGGTACTTCATGGTACAAGGGACTTGGCTTCGTGTCATTCGAGTTGAGCGACATCGCCTCCATACAGGAGGAAAATTACGACTGCCATATCGTTTCGAACGCCACCAGCTCCCTCTGGGGCTGTATCAAGTATGGCAAGGGAGAAGTAGAATTGAAAGTAAGAGCGACTGGTGATTTTGCGTTAATTAGTTCATGATAAAAGGGCCCCTTCTTCCTTCTCCCACACGCCTCCCTTTGCCGTCGACCAACCCTCCAAACCTTTTTCCTTTTGCATCTTCGAGACTCACGAGGGAACGTGCCTTAAATCCAGCTCCAAGTACTCTTCTATTGTCCTGTCATATTCTACTATCTGGTTCCGCGTTTCTAGCGCGTACTGTGCAACGCTACTCCTTTCGCCTGCCGTCACACCCCGGGTACGCCCATTTCCACAAATCTTCTAGGTTGACCATGGCCCCTCACAACGATGCGCCCTCACCGACCGGAGGTTTCGCAGCTGGGATCAGAAAAAACTCACTTCGCTCAAGCGCACCGTCAAATCTCAACATCGGAAGCTCCGCGGATCCGGAATCGCATTCACCGCTGAGCAGCTCCTTCGACAGCGCCTCGCTGGGTGCTGGTCTCGACGAGAGCCGGCCGCTCGTCCCTGGTGTTTACGTGCCAACCATGTGCTTCTTTGACCCTGGCACTGAGAATGTGGACACCAACACCATTGCCCGCCACGCAGTGCGACTTGCCCAAGCCGGTGTTACCGGTCTCGCGACTCAGGGATCGAATGGGGAGGCGGTTCATCTCACCCACACCGAACGCCAGGTGGTTACCGCCACAACTCGGCAAGCCCTCAACGAAGCCGGATTCTCCAAGATGCCGATAATCGTTGGATGCGGAAGCCAGAGCACCCGTGAGACTATCCAGTACTGCTCAGAAGCTTGGGCTGCTGGGGGAGACTATGCTCTCGTCCTGCCCCCGTCGTATTACTCCGGTCTATTTGCGCCTTCTTCCGAGACCATCCTGAGATACTTTCGCGAAGTTGCGGATTCCTCTCCGATTCCCCTTCTGATCTACAACTTCCCGGGAGCAGTGGGAGGGATTGATCTTTCAAGCGACGTTATCGTGGAGCTGTCTCAGCACCCGAACATTGCCGGCGTGAAACTGACGTGCGGCAACACTGGCAAGCTGAATCGTGTCGCAAATGCCACGAGGAAGTTGGCAAAGAACCCAGATGCGGATGTGCCTGAGTTCCTCGTGCTGGCTGGCTCGGCCGACTTTTCTATCCAATCTCTGGTCGCTGGAGGCCATGGCATTCTTGCAGGGCTGGCCAATATCGCTCCCAAGGCATGCATAAGGACAATCAAGCTCTTCCAAGAAGGAAAGTATCAAGAAGCACAAGAGATCCAAGAGGTTTTATCTCAGGGAGACTGGGCAGCTATTCAAGGAGGCGTCGTCGGAGTCAAAGCTGGCCTTCAAGCCTGGCTGGGGTATGGAGGGGTTGCGCGCAGCCCTCTGCCGAAGCCCACACCAGACCAGATGAAGAGATGGAAGGAGGGCTTCCAAGAGCTCATCTTGCTGGAAAAGTCTCTCTGAGTCGAGCTTCTTTATGTCGTCTCCGTGTGGTCATGATCCGAAGGTGGTCATCGTGGGTCAAAGGAGTTTGGAGGCTTTGGAGAAGCAATTCTTGAGTCTCATTGAACCACGTCGAACGAAGTACCGTTGGAATCATTCAGGCACCGCGTTATCCCAGTTGTCTCTGACAACGAACTCAAAAGTTCTCTGTCTATCACGTATTTAGGGGTTCCATTTGGTTCACAGCTCCAATATCACTTACATCATTCCCTGCACTATTGAGAAATCATCTCCGCCACCATGCCTGGCAGTAATACAACTGATGCCGTGAAATAGGTTGTGTCCTAAAGCTCGCCCTTTATGGCGGAACAGTCATGCACCACTGAACCTCCGCAAGTTCGACATCGTTGGACCTGTCAGCCATCCCTGTGATATTTTCTCCTCGACTTCTTGGCACCGATTACCTTCAACATCTTTTAGATACACCTTCACGTAACGTAACGAGCATACGGCTAGACGCCGACATACCTAGGAGTAGGAAAACCCGCACGATCAGCTTTCCCAGCCGCATGTAATAAGGAGAATATTACTGTTGCCACGTCAGTCTTATGCGCTTTACCCGCAGAAGACTGCATCATCTACGAAGGACAACGGCATTCTCGCGCCTGCCAATGAATCTCGTCAGATGAATCACTGTGAGAATGACCAAAGCCCGTCGCAAACCTCGCCGAAAGCGGTGAGTGTGCCAGGACCTAGTAACCCTGAACTTCTGCCTGCAACCCATGCTTCAGACGGGAAGCTGCAGACCGGAAGAACGGCAACCCAGCGTAAACGACTCGCGGTGATTCTGTTTGTGACACAGGTTGGATGTTGTGATTTATGTTGGCCGTAAAAGCCGCGAATGGGCGCCAACAGAAAACACGAGCCACGGATTTTGAGAGATAGAAACCGGCCGGTCGGAGGCCACAGCGGGAAAGAGCGAACAGGGTAGACAGGGTGAGCGCCTGACCGCTCTGATGTTTCCACAACGTTTTCTTGAGGTGGCCCAGCTCGTGAAATGCATGCAACCTCCCGCCGCGTACCTGAATTTCGATAGTGCCTTGATCTTCCGGACTTCTGCTTTCCCCATCGAGTTGAGGCCTCACGCCACTTTGATCATTCCTTAGCATCTAATCAGCAAGAACCTGCAAGCAATATAGAGAGGTCACACACAAAGTGGCTTAGTTGCTATTTCCGTCACCGTTTGTCGGAGCGTTCTGCGATTGTTCCTGGTTAACTGTCTGTGGAGCTGGATGATCGTCATGCTCGCGACCCAAGAATCAGGTCTCCTGAACATCGTCGCCCATGCCGAGCGACGGTACGCGAAGGCTCCAACAAAAGACCTTTCCACATGCTGGATATGCCACAAGGTTGGTGACAGCGCGGGAATGGAACGGGTCCGACGGCACCGCTTGTTGAAGCACCAACCTGGAAGCGCTTGACTTGACCATCGGGAATATAAACACCCTCGCTTTCCCCTTGGGTCTTGAGAGCTTGATCTTCCTTGGCGATCTGAAAAAGTTAACCATAATCAGATTCCCCCAACGCAATGATTACTCTACCATTCGAAGTTATACTCGTATTGCTAGTGGCCGTCCCATGGACGGCTGTTGGGCAGAACCTCCCCGTCACAGGGGTCAGGTCCGGTATCAACGCCCAGACAGGCGAGGTGCCGGCTAGGAGAGACATCAATAGCCTCTACGACGAAGGAGGACCACAATGGTAGATGACTGTCTCAGACGAGAGAGATTAGGTTGCTGACATTTCTCCAGGGATCTGTACGTAGGGGCGCTCACGGCGATGCAGGATGCGAATGAAACGGACCCCGTATCATTCTTCCAGATTGCCGGTAAGAACTACAGGGTCGTTGATTTGAACTTCTAGTTAATGGTGGGTCTCAGGTATTCACGGGCAGCCGTACATGGCTTGGTCTGGGGGCGGGCCGCAGACAGGAGCAGACGCAGGGTATTGTCCGCACAATGTAAGCAACCTTAACGTGGAGAGTTGATATTGACCTGGCTGACATTCGCAAACAGCAAATGCTATTCGGCACCTGGCATCGTGCGTATCTTTCACTGTATGAGGTTTGTGCATCGTTTCACAGGTTCAGGTTTGTCTCCAGGAAGAACTGACACTCCCGACACAGCAAGTCCTTGTGCAGCATGCCAAACGACTCGCCGCCGCCTACCCAGCCACATCAAGAAGACAGTATGTCGAAGCTGCCGAGGATCTACGTTTAGCATATTGGGACTGGGGTGCCAACTCCAACGTACCTCCAGTGAGCGCACTGCCAACGGTTGTCATCAACAGATCGGACAACGGTACCCTTCGTCAGACCACAGTCCGGAACCCTTTCTTCAGGTACACATACCCAGAATCTGCACTTCAGGGCGACTTTGGCAAGTTCGACGGGAAAAACTACACAAAACGATGTGTCGATGATGGGCAAAGCTTCCCAGAGTCGGCGAATGACATTCTCTCGGGGTTCAATCTCAAGGAGAAGGTGGTAAGTCTGAGACATACTTCCGCCCACAGATCGAAAAGCGATCGCCCGGGGACTTTTTTTTCAAGTTGTACAGCGGACACTTACTGATTGATGACAGTACAACGTCTTTCTAAAAGCGACCAGCTTTGACGAAATGGTCTCGGCGCAATCTCAGGGAGCCAACTTTGAAGGCCCTCATGGCGAGGTGCACGTTGGAGCAGCCTGTGGCCAAGACCTCGTGTACTTGTCAACCTCAGCCTTTGACCCCCTGTTGTTAGTTGAACCTCTCACTATGACGAGATCAACGAGCTCTGACTCAAATCTTCAGCTGGCTTCACCACACCAATGTAGACCGCCTCATAGCCTACTGGCAAGCTCTTCATTTCGAGAACGCGACCATGCACTTCTCGTACCCCTCGAATCACCTGTTTGCGACGCCTCGAGGAACCATCACCACACCAGAATCGCCAATGATGCCATTCATCGGTAGAGGAGGAGAGCCTCTCACCAGCGAGTCGGTGACGCAAATCCGTGATTGGGGGTACACGTACGCGCCCATGCGGTTCTGGGAGGAGGCGCCTGGAGAGACGAAAATGGCGGTCAGCAGGACCGTGAATAGTCTCTATGGTCCGCAGGTACCTAACTCGTTCCGGGGAGTGAAGAGACGCAAAGCTGCACCCAGGACGGAGTACTTCGCCAAGGTTCAAGTTGAGAGGAGTGAGCTGGAATTGCCGTGCCAGGTGCAATTGTTCATGAACGGTGGCCTCGCCGGTTCCTTCACCTTATTAGACATGCCGAAGCAAGGTAAAAGTTACGACCAGATTCCGTTGAGGAGGGCTATGAAGTCGGCTAGCATAGGAGGGTCTTCGACAAAAGCAGTTCTGGAGTCGATCGATGATAACTTGGAGGTCGTCATCAGGAAGGTGAGTTCAGTCTTGTTTACGTTACTCGCAGGATCTTAACTGACATTCATCTTTCAGCTGGACGGGACGACGATCTCACTCGAAAGGGTGCCTAGTCTGAAAATTGAGTTGGAAGACGTCGAGGTAATCCCTCCTGCAACGCTGAACGAGCTTCCAACCATTGGGAAGTCGAGCAGGCGGACTGCAGTTGCTCGCCCTCCAGCTGTTATTGGATAATGTAGCTCCTCGAAGTCTCTCTTCGCCTTGTACCTGTGTATCTAATTTCTAATTTGTTGGCTTTCCTTTGCCGGATGGGACAGAATACTATGTGATTCCTTAATATTTCGGGCGGCAATCAGTAGTGGTGAAGCAAGGCGGTATCTAGATAAAGAGGTGTACAAATCGCCCTGTCAAGTTTGAGAATGAGACACTATTTGAAATGTGACGACCCTATTCATCAGGTGATGTGAAAGATTTGCCCATTCCGGGTGTTTCGGTGTACACATTCTCGCTCGGTTCCAGAGACACGATATGTGTGCATGCGCAACGTCGGACGTACTTTCGACGCAAGGCTTAGCCCTGGCGCAACGAGACCCGACACCAGGGCGAGAGGGCGAGCTTTAAACGGCCCGATGGGATTCGTGGGGTGACGTGTCCAACGGGCGCTTAAGTCGACGTCAGTCAGTCGGTGAACATGTTGGCGTGATATCGTAAGACGGGTCAAATCTGATTTCCATGCTTGTGGAATGAACATGGCTCCTCTGTTGGACATGTTGGACATGTTGGACATATAGACCTTGAATATTATCCCATTATCTCCTCCGTTTTAGTGCCAGATTTGCAGCCATCCGCTCATACATCCTGTCCACCCATGAGCCATAACGCGCCGCAACTTGCCTGGAGCAACATGCCGCACACGAGGAACACCTTGTTTGCTCCTTCGTCACTTGTGAACATCAGACTGACAACGACGAACAAGTTGAGCGGAATTCTCAGAACACCGTAAACCTGCGCGCGTACGCCATCGTCCACAACCTTGCCCTTGAGGTAGCCCATGGACGGGAAGTAGAGTCCCACACAAGCTTCAAAGAGACAGAACAGCCAGAAGGTAACCTGCTCTGGTCGCGCACCACCGGTGCCGAGAGCAAAGAAGACTGCGTTAGCTGCGAGTAAGACTGCGAACAGCAAACGAGACGGAGTTGAGACCATGGCAGACAGGCGAGGATACAAGAGGGACGCGAGCAGAGTCGAGGCCATGAAGGCAGCGAAGATGATGCCGTAAGGCAGGGTGTCCGGAGAAGAGGAGGCGGCGACGAGGACGGGACTCCAGAGAACTACAAAGAGATACATGGAACCTTCGAACATTGTTGATGCGAGACCGATGGTAAGCACGCGCCTGTCAGTCATCGTGGTCCAGAGGCTGGGTTTCTTTCCCTTGGAAGCCTCCTTAGACGAACTTTGGCCGGTGGAACCGTAGTTCTCGTCCTAAACACCCGTTAGCCTAAAGACCAAGATCTGCGCAGTGACAGGAATCTTACCCATTGGCTGGTAATGATCCCGGCGGCTAGCACGAGCAGCCCAATGCTGGCGAGAAATGGCGACTTGCGCGTTCCGGTGATGGAAACCAGCCACTCGCTGGCAACGCCACTGACGATGGCCACAATGCTGTTGACTGTGCTCATGAAGCCGAAAGTTCGCGACAGGTCCAGACCTTTCTCCCCGAGACGACGGGCGTGAAAGTCGGTGACCATCCAACTCTCAAAGACACTGAAAAGAAGACTGGTCCCGAGACCTCCGAGGACGCGGCCGACGAAGAGTAGCGGCAGGCTCGGGATGGTGGTGAGAAGGCATGAGAGGGCGTAGGCGGCGCAGAAGAAGAGACAGCTCGCCTTGCGGCCGTGACGGTCGGCCAGGGAGCCGATGAAGTAGCCGGCTACAGCTCCAGAGACAAATCCTGTCGTGAAAAGCGTCGGGACAAGGTCTGAGGAGATGCCGTGCTCATTCTTGTACAGGGAGTAGAGAAATGGGCCCTTGTGATCGTGTCAGAAAGGTAAAATTAATTGACTGGTACTGACTTACCTGAAGCCAATCCGAGCCCATGACGAGAGCGTAAACGACGTAGAACGCCCATTGCGATCCTTGCTGGGGTTTCTCTTTCTTTCGTTGTTTCGCGCTCTTCTCATCGTTTTTGACAGGTTTATCAGTGTTGCTTGAGGCGAAGAGAGCGCCACAGGCCACCAGAAGGCCGGCGAGATTCAGCTGGTAGATGTCCAGCATCTTGACAGTTGGTTGAGAGGAAGTAAATGACAAGTTAGCCCGGTTTGCAGGAAGAAGACGAAGGAAAAAGGAGAGCCAGAAGATAAAAGAACAGACAATGGCCTGAAGAGATGAAGATGTTTGAAATCACGAAGCTCCATGTGTCCTTCTCCATCCTTGGGGCAATTTTCCGGGGGCCAAGCTGGAGCATTGGGTGTTTCGGGCGCCTGCCTCAAGGGGGCCCCTTCTACATTTAGCAGTAAGGCACGGATGCGTAGAAACTCGACCAAGGTTCATCTGTCTGAATCATTGAGAGGATGTTCAGACGAAAGACTTCCAAGCCAACTGAGTCCCACCTCTAGCCATGAGGATTGTGCAAGTCAAGAATTGAGCAGATGGGGGAAGGGAAACCGTGATATTCCACAGGCACCGTACCTGTTAAGTAGCTGTTGTGGGGTACCTAAACTGGAAGGTATAGGTACTCTCGCTGTCTCTCGGCTAAGCTACCCCTGTAATTCTAGCTAAGGTTCGGTTCCCCAGCCCCCAGCACCCAAGTCCGTTTATCCTCATTTCTTCAGACATCGTCCAAACGAAACAACTTGACTGTTTCGTTCAACGGGTACACGGTAATGTTATGAGATGAGGAGTTCGTGAAAACCTGACGGGAAAGCATCCAACGGCAAACCCAACTTCGACTGCGATATTGAACCTCTGCAATCTTCCGACGATGCACCTCAAAATGCCGTGCGCCGCCATGTCCGCCATGCATACACGGAGATCCGGACATTGGACTGGCTAGAGCTGCAGGTTAACACGGCGCATACTGGCCAGTGATCGACAATCAGGTGTTCGTTGATGTTTATTCCCGCGCCATCAAGGATCACCAGACTACCACCTACCGCATAGAGCACACGCGCGGGGTCGAGTAGTAGAGTTTGGCCAGCTACCAGCACGTAGCCGGGATCTCCGTGCGTCGTCCTACTTTGCAGGAGGTGAGGAGATGGTGAACTGAATCAATCACATTTATAGCCCTCAGTTCTGGTTGCGTTCTTCCTCTTCTCTTCAGCGGAATTCGTTCGGTCTCTCATGAGAGGCTTGACTTCCCGCGGATGAACCATCTACATCAACTCTGTGCTACAGTTCATCCCATGTCTTCTGCATCATGCGCAGGATGCAACGCCTACTAGTCTCACTCGTTACTCTTGGTGCTGCCGTCGTCTCTCAGTCGTTCGATCCTCTAACCTTTGTCGACCCCTTAATCGGCTCTCAGCGAGGCGGTAACGTATTCGCCGGCGCCACACGGCCTTATGGGCTCGCCAAAGCCGTCGCCGACGTCGACGGCGAAAAGACTGGTGGTTTTGCAACCGATGGCAGCAACATCACCGGCTTCAGCATCGTCCATGACAGCGGCACCGGAGGCAACCCCAGTCTGGGCAACTTCCCGCTGTTCCCGCAAGTGTGTCCGGGTGATGAGCTCAATAACTGCCGCTTTCGGATCGGAGACCGCGCAACCAAATATGACTTGAACAAGACGGTGGCCGAGCCGGGGTATTTCTCGGTGGACATGGTGTCAGGTGTGAAGGCGGACATGACCGTCTCTGAGCATGCGGCGCTCTTGCGGTTCACGTTTCCCAGTGGTAACGAGCATCCGCTTGTGATGTTGGATTTGACGGATCTTTGGGCGAGCCGTCAGAATGCCTCAATCAAGATTGATACTCCCACAGGACGGATGACGGGAAACGGCACGTTTCTGCCCAGCTTCGGCGCCGGGTCATATGTAATGCACTATTGCGTCGACTTCTTTGGGGCCAAGATCTTCGACACGGGGGTATGGGTGAACAACCGCGCGGGCAACGAACCGAAGGAGCTATTCATCACGAGAGGCTTCAACTTGTTCTACCTCGAGGGTGGAGGTTTCGTCCGGTTCAAGGAGCTCACTAACAACACGGTCACCGCAAGAGTGGGCGTCTCATTCAAGAGCAGCGGACAGGCGTGTCAGAATGCTGAGCGAGAGATTCCTGATCCCCTGAGTAACTTCGACTCGTTAGTCGGGTCAGCCAAAGACGCATGGAGGGAGAAGTTGAGCCCAGTGTCGATCAAGGCGGGCGGTGCGACGGATGATCTTCAGAGAAGTTTCTGGAGCGGGTTGTATCGCAACATGATCTCCCCTCAGAACTACACTGGCGAGAACCCCAATTGGGATAGCGGTGTCCCGTACTTTGATTCATACTACTGGTGCGTCAAAACTCGTCTTCTAGCAATCTGTACTGATTGCAAGCAGCATGTGGGACGGTTTCCGCGTCCAGCATCCATTGCTTACCGTCATCGATCCGGTAGCGCAGACGCAGATGGTCAATTCCCTGCTGGACATATACAAACACGAAGGCTGGCTCCCCGACTGCCGTATGTCTCTTTGTAAAGGCTGGACACAAGGCGGCTCCAACGCCGACATAGTTCTCGTCGATGCCTATGTCAAGAATTTAACCTCGATAGACTGGAGACTAGCTCTGGAGGCCATCACCAAGGACGCAGAAGAGGAGCCCCTGGAGTGGTCCTACCAAGGTCGTGGCGGACTGACGAGCTGGAAGAACCTCAATTACATCCCGTATCTCGATTTCGATCCCATCGGCTTCGGCACAAATTCAAGGAGCATCTCGAGGACTTTGGAGTACTCGTACAATGACTTTTGTCTGGCGACGCTAGCTCAGGGTTTGAACGAGGGCACAGCCCACGATAAGTATATGGCAAGAAGCATGAACTGGCAAAATCTGTGGAAGTTGGACCAAAAATCACTGATAAATGGCACGGACACCAACTTCAACGGCTTCTTCCAGCCAAAGTACATGAATGGGACCTGGGGTTTCCAGGATCCGATTGCCTGCTCTACTCTTGCTGGATTTTGTTCCTTGACGACAAATCCCAGCGAGACGTTCGAAGCGAGCATCTGGCAGTATCAGTTGTACGTACCAGTCCCCAACTCAGTCACATCAAACTGACCTCTTGTAGCATCGTGCCTCATGCGACTTCAACTCTCATCGACGTGATGGGCGGCGATGATGCATTCGTCTCCCGTCTGAACTACTTCCACGCGTCTCCTCTCGCAGACATCTCCAACGAGCCAGTGTTTCTCACGGTGTACCAGTATCATTATGCGGGACGGCCCGGCCTCTCGGCGGAACGCATTCACCAGTACATACCGTCTGCCTTCAACTCTACCCGTGGCGGCCTGCCTGGAAACGACGACTCTGGTGCCATGGGGGCGTTCCTCGCCTTCTCCGTGATGGGTCTATTCCCTGTCGCGGGACAAAATGTGTATCTCATTACACCACCTTTCTTCGAAGAAATCGCGGTCAAGAGTCCGCTGACGGGCAAAAATGCTACAGTGAAGTGCGTGGGGTTCGATCCGGCTTACAAAAACATTTACGTGCAAAGCGCCAAGCTGGACGGGCAGGCGTACAACAGGAGTTGGATTGGGCATGACTTCTTCAGCAAAGGACAGACTCTGGAACTTACTTTGGGCGACAAGGAATCTGACTGGGCAAAGAGCAAGGAAGCAAGGCCGCCTAGTTATGTGGCAGCGTCCAAGTCCTGAGGCATTTGGCTGGAAACATTTGAGTACATCCACATCTTGCTCAAAATCATGGCCGGTAACATGGAATGCTTTGCGCTGCTTGCCACAGCACATGTATTAGTCACGCAAGAGGAGGGTTAGGTGAGCAGTTTGGGGTGATCGATCGTCTCGAGGACGTCAAATTCTATTCTTGGTTCTGTTTTTTGGACCATAAATGTACCCATGATCGCTTCGAGTAGACTCCATCCAGGAGCCGTTATCCCTGACACCGTGCTTCCGTTCGGCCGTTCACAAGCCATGCCCAAATCCCAATGCTACCCAATCTCACCGAAGAATAACCAAGTCGTCATCATCATCTTCAAAGGAAACTGTCTGTGGCAGGTCCATCCCCAAGCTCTCTCTCCCAGCTTCGCGAATGCCTTTCTCCGTCACGAATCTCGTCTTTTTCCGGACCGGTGGCTTGTCATTGCTCAACTTTTCGCCCTCCTTCATCTTGCTCAGCTTGTCCTTGAGGTTGCCACCCCAACCGAAACCAGACTTCGCGCCAGTTGTTGCTGATGCTGGAGCCCCGACCGAAGAGCTGGATTGCGCACTCTGCGGCCTCTTGCGTTTTATAGGGCTCAGGTGGATTGCGAGGTCCCTACTCCTCGATCCTACCAGACCCAGAGCTTTAGCATCGGGCTTCGCTTCTTCTTCAATGGCGTTGGATGATGACGGTCCCGGCGGGGGAAAGGAAGCGGATACACTGGAAGTAGGACCACGTTCTGTCCTTTTCATGTAATCCCTTCCAGCACCAGTGCCGATCTTGCCCAAGCGCTGCATGATTCCGCGTTCTCGCTCTTGTTGAAGCATCCGCTTCTTCAGCCCCTCTTCCTTCTCCCTCCGATCTGCGAGAGCCTGGGCACCATCTATAAGCTGCGCCGCGCTCATGGATTTCGTGGCAAACCAATGGCTATGTGTTTCCCTGTCGTATTGGCTCTTCTTTTGTTCTGCCGCGGTAGGAGGCTTGGTGACGTAACGAGAGTTCATTCGCCATTTCTCTGCACCACTCATGCCGAAATCCATGGTGCCGATCTCAATGCGTGCTGCGCGCTGCTTGGAGACTGCCTCGTTGGTATGAAACTCGCAGAACTCTGTTCGTTTCTTGTTAACCCACGAATTGCAGTACTCGCCGTCCTTCTTTATGGATTTGCAGAAGCCCAAATCCCGAGCCTTCCCTACTTCCATGATTGTGTCGGCATCCGAGTTGATGACCAAACTGAAACGACCAGTGGCTTCGCGGCCGACCGGTGGCGGCATGATCGTAGGATTCAAGATTGCCAGCACAGTGCCTTCTGTGACCTTCCAGAAGCGAGTGAACCCCGAGTTAAAGAGGAACAGCTCAAGCTCCCACTTCAAATCACACAGCGTAATCACCATGTATTTGCCCTTGTCTGTCTGTTTCCCTTTTTGATCCGGTCTGGGTTTATGCGAGCGTGGTTCCGACTTTTTTGCCACAATGGCGAAGACGACGATATCTTGCTCGATATCTGGAAGCTGGAACTCGGGCCCCTTGACTTTCCGGAGTAAATCTGGTAACTTAAAAATCTTTTTCTCAGAGAGGTGCCTGGTTAGGACCTGGTGTGGCAGAATGCGCTGCGAAAGATGGAAGCTAGAATACGGCTCGAATGCCGAAGCTTCGGATTCGGGTACATCTGCAGGTGCTAGCTTCTTAGGCTTCGCTGGTTTCGATTGTGGCAACATCCAGTCAGGCGGTGGTTGATAGAGACCTTGGGGGTCATCTGCGGATGCTGATGGCGGTGCCGGGAGAGCTAGTTGCCCGTCTCTTGGTGCTTGCTCGCTCTTGGGTTCTAAACCGAGGATCTCTTCTCGTGTGAACTGTGGCGCTACGTCGGGTTGATCGGGTAGGTCGACGGCCTTTGATTTGTACTCGTCCATCTCCTTCCGTCCAATCTCAAATGCATTGGACCTGACCTTTTGAACTCTGTCTCTTAAACCTTGCCGATCCTGCTCTGTTGTCCTTGCTGCAGCTAACCTCTCGTTGAAACTCAGCGGCCGAGATATTTCAGACGTGGGTTGGGGTCCGGGGGTCCTTGACCTCTGGAGGTAGCCGCCAAATTGTTGTTCTCCATCTTGCCTTCTGCGCAGCGCACTTGGGGCTCTTTTCAACGAGATGTCTTTCGCTCTCAGTCCCTTGTCTATTCCCAGAAGAACCCGACTTGGTGAAGTTTGTGGTTGAGGGGGCGGGGCCTTTCTCGTTGGGGAGACAGGCACCTCGATAGTTGGTGCGGCGGGAAGTGACAAAGGCCTGGCGGCAGCTCGGCCTGCGCCTTGTCCAAATATTCTCGAGGATGGTCTTGGTTGTGGTGGTGGTGATCTGCGCCTAGGCGATGGGGGCACAGCTGTCTTCTCCCTTGCGCTCTGAAGTTTCTTGAGCTTTAACCTGGCCTGGATCTCCTGTAACTTGAGCTGTAGGGTTTCCTCGTCCTCCTCCTCCTCTTGGTCGTTCATCTCGTCTCGCAATGCGGCCGACCTTGACGATAAGGCGGACATGGATCGCCCCCTCTTGAGTGGTGACGGAGAGGGAGAGGTTCGGTTCGCAAGCCGTCTCAGTCGTTCGCGCCCGCCGGGTGTGCTGATGAGGGCTTCATGGGGTGATCGAGGAGGCCATTGAGGCTCGTCGTGTGGGGCACCTGTAGGAATGTTACGGTCTCGTTCGCCAGACGCTCTCGGGGTAACAAACCAGGAGGCATATTGCTGGTAGGTCACAGTAAAGGCGGTCGTCGGCGCGATGGTCACCTTGGTGCATTCCAGGGCAAGGCGACTTGATGGAGCTTTAACGCCACAAGGCCCATGACCCGCCGACCGGGCTGCTCAGCTTCGAAATCGGGCGCAAGACTCGGTTGATGGTTTATGGGAGGGGTCTGTGCCGGCAAACAAACACTCGCATTCAGAGAACAAAGGAAAGGCGTAAGAGTTCAATGTAAACAAGATAGGCGGCTAAAGGAGCGACGTCGGCTTTCGGTGCCGCAAAAATGACGAAAAGATGTGTGCAAGCTAAGGCATGAGAAGGACGGGCAAGAAGGTCTCGATCGTTATCGACTGTCGCATCTGAACTTGTCGTCACGATAAGCCTGGGCAGGCTAGGCTGAGAAGAGGAGTTTGACGTGGAGTGATGCGAGTGTTCGGGCAGCCGCCATTGGTCGCTGTCGCGAATGACCCTGAACGACGCGCTCCACTTTTAATTGAGATCAGTCCGTCGCGTCCTGTCGCGTCTAAGCGCAGGGGTTCACAAGTCACTTTGTACCTCGATCCGCGACCTATCCACGCTCAGCACTGGCCTACAGGTCGGATTGTTCGCTATCAAATTGCCGACACATCTGCTTCGTCCATTCTCGACTGTTCTTTGGTTCTTGTTTTCTCGGATTTGGCATCTCTCATACCCAACAGCTGCTAATTGTACACGGCAGAATATTCAGGTCACATCCAATGGCGAGAACCAGATCAACCAAGTCCGCTCCGGCGGCGAAGACGGAGGCAAGCAATGCCCCAACGACGGCCAAGTACAGTCTGCCACAGGAGTCGTCGAGCGCACCCAAGCTATTCATCATTCCTACCAAGGCTACCCAAGAGGCTCGCATAGTCTCTCTTCCTAATCCCAGATACTCGAAACCTACACGGTATCTGCTCTGCCCAGACACGGGCATCTACGAGTTCACCAAGATCGCAGCACCCAACACCAGCCCGAGGAGCTGGATGATCGAGACACCCACCGGCGATTTGGAGAAGTCAAATGATGGAGACAACTCAAAGCTCCAGGCGCAGGTCACCAATGGCGCTGACCTCTTCGTCGCGACTCCCATTGATCCCATCTTCCTCCTGCTTCCCGGCCTTTTCGGCCCTGCCAGCGCAAAGTCGACCGAATCGAAACGCCTCTTCCTCTCCAGCGACGACCACTTCGACGCCGTTTCCTCGTCGTCCTCCCATATGGCCGAGGCTCTGCGATGCCCAAAAACCCGCGCGCTTCTTGAGTCACGAATGGAAACGGTCTGCGACACTGTCGATGCTGGTGACGAGAAGATGTACCGACTGAGCGAGAAGAAGCTTGTCAACGAGGTTCTGTCAAAAGCAAAAGCGATGAGCTCTAAAAGTCTTCCGAAAAGTATGGAGGAAAAGTTTGTGAAGAAGGCCTTGGAGGCACCTATTCAAGTACAAAGATCACAAGCGGTGACAGTGGAAGCGAAACCGGCTGCCGATGGAGCGACGGATGGTTCCCAAGATTCCACCAAGAATGAATCAGGCGAGTCTCAGACGTCCGAGTCTACGGTGGACAGTACACAATCAGCTGTCTCGACTTCGACTGCCGCAACATCTATCAGCGAAGTCGTGGAAGAGACCATCGTCAGTGCCATCCAAGCATCAGAGGAGGTCACCAACCTTCAGAGACTCAAGGTCGCATTCAATTTCATCTGCTCCAGCTATATCGCGCCTGGGATGACCGCGATGCTGAGGCCACTCCTTGCTGACCAGGAGACGACCAGCGTCGACTTCACCCCTCTGGATGACTACTTGGCTCAACTTGCCAAACTGCGCGCCGAAGCCGCATCGTCTAGATCAATGGCCGACTACTCCAGGAAGCGAATGATGGATGAGGAGGAGGAAGAGGCACGTGCTGACAAGAAGAGGAAGATGGAGGAGGAGAAGAAACGGAAAGCCACCCAAAGCCGCGGAGTCAGAGCTTTGGAGAAGGTCAACACTAAAGGCATGAAGAAGATGAGCGACTTCTTCAAGAAGAAATAGGCTGGTCTGTAGTGGACCGCCAGCATGCATTTCAGGGTATCGGTACTCATGCACAAACAAAAAGTCGTCCAACACTACTCCGTACCTCTGGCCCGTCCCCGATATCCACCGCGAACACTCGGAGCGCCCCTACCGATTCTCGATGTGCTACTGGAATAGGTGTGGCCGCGCGTGGTCGTCGTACTTGTGCCACGAACCCGCCCACGAGAGGCCCCGCGGGTCACTCCTCGGCCGCGAGATGTGGTGCCAACAGCCGCTTGTCTCTGCCGCTCTTCCTCTTCCTCCTCACGCTTTCGTCGGACAGCCTCACGCCGCCTTTCCTCTTCCGCCGCCCGCCTCTCAGCTTGCTGTTGCTTGTGCAAAGCCTCGGCTTCGACTTCTACCAAGTCGTTGCTTGCGCCGCGCCAGTTCGGGTTGAGGATCAGTCGCTGGTTGTGTTCGGTTTGAGAGAGGATACGAGTCCAAGTATTCAGGAGAGTGGACGCATTCGAGACGGTGCCGGAGACGGTCTACGAGTTTAAAGTCAGCGACAGACCAGGAACGAAGGACTGTCAGCAGCAACACATACGTTCATGTTCCCCTTGGCCTTGTCAAGAGTGGTGATGATGCCCTCAATTGCGGCGTTGATATTGCGGACACCCTCTAGCTCCTTGCGCAAGGCGGCCTCTCTGTCATACGTGGTAGGTTGGTTCGCAGGTGTCTTGGGCGTCTTTGGAGTTTTGGGAGTTTTCGGTGTGGCAGGGGTCTTGGGCCGGTCGGAGGATGGGGGAGCTTGACCGTCTGGGCCAGGCGACGCCCAGATGTCCTCGGTGAGGGAGTCGTCCATGTTGTCGGCCATGATGGATGTTGCGCCGGTCGGTGCCCAGCTGCAGGTGCGGGTGCGGGTGCGGGTGCGGGTGCAGGTGCAGGTGCAGGTGGTAATGCGCCGATAGTGACGGTTCTGCGAGAGCGCGGTCTGGGGCTGTCTGTGCCTGAGACGGAACGGCGACGGTGACGTTATTTGTTGATGGAATCAGACTTTGGGATTGGAGTGCCGCTTCGTGTCCGGGCTGTTTGGGGGAAAATGTGGGATGGGGTGAGGGGCAGAGAAGATCCCTGCAGGCCCAATGGGCACTTTAGCGTTAGTGTTGTTTGGGCTGGCTCGACTGTGTGTACGATACGCGAAAAGACGCGCTTTTCAGGAGGTGCGACGCGTCTCCGCCGTCGTGGTGGGTCCTCGCTTAATTTGCGCAGAAAATGAGCTGTCTGTCCCCTCAAGCCTCAGTGTTCGTCGCTGTAAAACTTGGTGGCTGGGGGCTGGTGCGCTGCCAAAAAAAAAGTCGTTGGATTGGGCTGCCCACTGCCCACTTCATTGGACATGGGCTCACGTTCTGAAAGGGTCGGTCGCAGTCCCCTCCCAGCCTTTACTTTTCCCAGCCTCCAGCCTCCCACGTTCTGTGACTTGACCGTTTCCTTTTGCATCCATCCCAACTGCCGCCGCCCCATGATCGCGAACATCCTCTATTCCATCCACACATCCACTTCTTACTTGCATCTCTTGTAGTCAGAGCAACCAGAGGAATCGCAAACTTCAGCATTTTATCCTTACTGCGATTGCGTAGTATTTTCAAAAATAATCAGTTGAACTAAGCTCTTTGTACTCTGACCGCTAGAGTCCTCTAAGAGTAAGGTACTCGAATCAACCGGGTACTACCTCACCTCATCCTCCCTCAACTTCAAGGCACCGACCACACTGGAAGTCTTTCATCGCTTTGCGACACCTGCACGCCCGCGCGCATTCGCCACCAAGACGGGAAAGAGCGATTGACAACCTCAAAGGAAAAACTAAAAAGGAAGGAACAGCCCATTGAGCATCAGGGTGCCTGCCAACCCTCACACCCACGAATCCAAAATGGCGACCTTCGCAGCATCAACACCTTCACCTCCCCCATCCTCCATCCGAACACCACCGACCCCCAAACACGGCTGGAGCGATAACTGGGAACCTTACTCTCCTCGCAAGTCGGCGCGAATTTCATCTCGACGAGCCGCCCACCGAACCCCTTCTCCCCAACCCTCATCCCACCGCACTCCTCCTCGAACCACCCGCAAAGCCGTCGCGCCTTCCGCTGCCGCAGCTGCATCAATCATGTCACCTACCGCCACCCCTCAGAAGAAGCGCCAGCCCGCCCAAGACTCCGTTCGTCGTGCATCCGGATTTCTGACCGTCGAGAGCGCAACCCAAGCCGCTTCGTCGCTTGGTATTGACAAGATGGAGCACCAAGCTCCTGCTCCTTCCGTCACTCGTCGCTCCGGCATGCTGCCTACGCCAGCCAAGACTCCCAAGAAGGCACCCAACGAGAAGCAGACGGCCCATCTCCGCTCCGTCGCCCGCAACCTATTCCACAACGAAGAGGAGGCTTTGGTCAGCCCTAGAAGGAAGCGCGTTCCCAAGCAGTACTCTGGTAATTCACTGGAGAGCTTTGTTGCCGAGGAAGTTGAGGAGCCGATTGAGATTTTCACCGATTCCCAAGATCGCGTTCCCGAAGTCGACCGGAGTGAGGACAACCCGTTCTACGGCGGTAGCGCCACTGTCGAGCAAGAGCCCCCGCGCCGTCGCAGCAAGCGCAACGTCGCCATCCCCGGAGAAGCCTCTCAGGCGGTTGATGAAGCGATCCAGCGTGAAGATGGACTGATCTATGTCTTGTAAGTCAAACCCGCTCTCAGAGTCTTTGCATGTTCGCTAACAAATCATTGCAGCCGAGGAAAGAAGATTTTCCGCAAGTTCGCTGAGCCAGAGGATGACGAGGATGTAGAGGGCAGCACGTCTGAGCGTCCTAAGAGACCACTCACTCGCTCTGCCATCAAGCCTCGCCTGCTGTTCCCCGTGGCACCCAAGGCGCCTGCTACTGGCTCGACTTTGGAAGAGGAGGAGGCGGTCACCGACATTGAGGACCACAACCTGGAGGAGCCGGAGGACGCCCCACAGACCCCAGCCGAAGTCAAGGACGAGTGCCCGTCGACCCCTCAAGCACCCAAGTTTGGCCAAATGGTAGCAACTCCTCCCGACACCAGACGCACCACGCGATCCGGATTGAAGTCGGAAGAGGCAACCCCAATCAAACGCAAGACCCGGTCGAGTCCATTCGACGACTGGCCGCGCGTCAAAAGCCGTCACGAGAGCTCACCAGCCAAACGCTCGGCAGATCCAGTTACCGCTCCGGCTGCTAAGCGAGCCCGTCATTAAGATGTTCTAATACGGCGAAATTGAGTATCATTCTTGGTATTCTCTGGCATTTTGAGCCATGAGACTACTGCAGCTTCGGTCAGGTTCAGGGTCATGGGATGAAAAAGCACAATTCTCGATAAGCTTTTGTGTAATGGTTAGGTATTTCACTTTCTGGACTAGGGACAAGTTGGCCAGTGAGTACTGGCAGTAGGCAGCACCTACGACTTGGGTCCCCTTTTTAACACTGGTAAACTTGTATGGACGATGGACGATCGGAAGATTCTTACGGAAGCAGAGGATGATCAGCTCGGGCTTTGGCGTTGGTTAAGCCGTGTATGAAGGACTGATATTCATGTATTAGAGGACCAGGCCAGGTTCTCCGAAATCTGCAGACTAGGACAAGAATGATTTTCATAGCATCTTTGAGAGCTGCATCGAGACGTGACAGTAATGCGGTATTGACCAGCGACTTCTGCTTTCCATTACAGCCCGAGTCTACTGCACCTAATTGGATGCGTGACCATGTAGGCCAAGCGGGCAGCCACGTACGTTAGGTCGGGTTCGGGCGAGCTGTTGGTATGTGAGGCAAGGTTAAGGTAGGTAGTCAGGCCCGATGTTGCCCGCCGTTTGGCTCCGAGAGCGGGCACGGAAGTCTGCCCGTCCAACTAACGTCAACATGCCCCACTATTGCAACCCCTCCATCCCGCCTAGACTCTGTGCCGTCTGGTCAGGAAATTTATCCGACTTCTTTCCTTTATGTAACTCACGACTCATCACCTCAGGGCTTCATTAACTCTGGAACAGAGCTCCCCGGTCCCTTTTACCTCGGGGTTACCTCATTGACGTTCTTGAGCTTTGTTATTGCAGGTCCATCGGCGTCCTGTGACCTTTGCCAAGACCTCCAACCGCGGGGCATCTCTCCAACCGAAATCTCAACTTCAACCTCACCTTGTGTCCTTTTCGCTCTGCGCCTCTCTTGTCCTAGAACTCAGTCAACCCATTTCGGAAACGAGATTGAACTTCATCATCACCAAGATGCACATCCTCCTTACCAACGACGACGGCCCGCCGTCTGCACACTCCTCCCCCTACGTCCACTCCCTCATCCACTACCTTCAAAAAGCCGGCCATACCGTCTCCGTCTGCCTGCCGCACACCCAGCGCTCCTGGATTGGCAAGGCGCACATCATCGGTCAGACTGTGAAGCCCCTCTACTACCGCCCCTCCGCCGAAGGTCTTCACGGCACTGAAGGCACCACCTCGACACGTCCTACCGCCACCGCCGGCGAGGACGAATGGATTCTGGTTGATGGCACCCCGGCCTCGTGCGTTCAAATCGGCCTGCACCACTTCTTCAAGGAACGTGGACCTATCGATCTCGTCGTCAGCGGTCCCAACTACGGCCGCAATACCACTGCTGTCTTTGCGCTCAGCTCGGGAACTTTGGGCGGCGCGCTCGAGGCGGCGGTCTGCAAGCGCAAGTCCATCGCGCTCAGCTATGCCTTCTTCTCGCGGAACCATGACCCTGTCATTATCGAGGGCGCCGCGAGGCACTCGGTGAAGGTCATTGAGAAACTGTATGAGCAGTGGCCTGCTAGTGACGAGGTTGACCTGTACAGTGTCAACGTGCCGCTTGTCGAGGGTGTTGAGACTCACAAGACGCTCTACACGGCCATGCTGCAGAACTACTGGCGCGAGGGCAGCTGCTTCCAGGAGATTGAGGGCGAGGTTGGTGACGAGGATGAGGAGGAGGAGAAGATTCGCGAGGGTGATTTTGGCGAAGCAATTGGCGGCGAAGATGCTCCTGAGCAGAAGGGCGAGGGCAAAAAGACTCCTGCTCACCGCCAAAGACACTTCAAATGGGCACCCAAGTTCACGGACGTGTACAAGAGCGTTGAAGAAGCAGAGCCTGGCAACGACGGCTGGGCTGTCAAGGAGGGCTACACGAGGTATGTCGATGCTCCTTAATAGGTGTTGACATGTTACTAACAGCACTTGCAGTGTGACGCCCCTGAAGGCCAACTTCTTGCAGCCTGCGCAGCATCTGCACAAGAAGGAACTGATTCTGTAAGTGAGCCCTTGGTCATTCGAGAGATGCATAGAGAAACGAGCATGGTGAGAACACGACATGGTGAAGAGCCGGGTAGGGTGCCGGGACATTTTTACACTCCATAAGCATGAACAGGCGGGAACAAAGGCATGATCATGACCATAGAGGACGGCAGCTCAGCATGTACTCTACGCTCTCAGTCGCTTTTTTGCATACAATAGACCGAACAGTTTCTTACCTCTGTCTGTCTGTAGTGATAGCCCTCAAAGTAATGGGCCCAAGAAGCAGGTCGCCTCCATCACTGAGCTTCCCGTAAGGACCGGCCCATTGCAGCCATCTTCGACACCAGAGTTTCACGCCATCATCAACTACGAAGACCCATATGTCCAGCCTCTGATCCTCGAGGCCATGGAACGCCTGTTCCCGAACAAGTACTCGCTCCTCCCGCCGCCAGAGGCCAACACAGCTACCGACGACGCACCCTCTCTGGCTGCCGTTCTTCCTACCAAGGACACCCGCATTCTCCACATCGCTCCCTACGAGTCCCTTGACTTCGACCACGTCGCCGAACACCCGTCCACCGCCCTCGTCAACAGCTACGTTATCCGCAAGGCCCTCATCCGCAAACATTACCTCTCCGCGACGGTCGACCACTGGGTCGCGAAACACCCCGACTCGGCCCTCAAGACGCACGTCCAGCGGGGTGAGCATTTCGAGGTTGACTACGCCGAGTTCCTCGACGACGCGCTCGTCGAGGCGTTTGATCTCCGCGAGAGCATGGACCGCAACGACGCCGTCGAGGACGCCGACAAGAGGGAGTGGTGGATTCTGAAGCCGGGCATGAGTGACCGCGGGCAGGGCATCAGGCTGTTCAGCTCGATGGAGGAGCTGCAGGGCGTTTTTGACGAGTGGGAGGAGGAGAGGCCTGACAGCGACGACGAGGATGAGGGAAGCGGCGGGGATTACATTACGACTTCGCACCTGCGGCACTTTGTCGTGCAGCCGTACATCCATCCTCCCCTGCTGCTCCCCGGCGACGCGAGAAAGTTTCACATCCGCACGTACGTGTTGTGCGTGGGCAGCCTGGACGTCTACGTGTACAGGCCTATGCTGGCGCTGTTCGCGGGCAAGGCGTACAAGGCGCCGTGGGAGGATGCGGACCTCGACGGGCATCTCACGAACACGTGTCTCCAGGGCGGGGGGTCTGCCTTGCCTCCGGTCAAGCAGTTCTGGGACCTTGTGAAGGGCCAGGGCTTGGCGGAGGGCCAGGCGGAGAGCATCTTCAAGCAGATTTGCGAGGTTACGGGTGACATCTTTGAGGCTGCGGCCAGGGAGATGACGATTCACTTCCAGCCTTTGGGCAATGCGTTTGAGGTATTTGGGCTGGACTTCTTGGTGGACGCCGAGGCGAGGCCGTGGTTGCTTGAGGTCAACTCGTTCCCCGACTTCAAGCAAACGGGAGGAGATCTGAAGGGGGTCGTTGCTGGGTTCTGGGAGGAGACGTTGAGGAGGTCTGTCGGAGGCTTCTTTGGTGTCGAAGCGGCAGAGGGAGAGAGAACGGGTGAGATGGTCCACGTCAGGAAGGTTGACCTCGGCAGACGGTGAGCAAGAGAGTGAAGTGAGCCTTGCGATATGGCTTGGATGATAAGGCGTTCTTTTGGCTTGGCCTCGGGGGACGGCAGACGTGAATGGTTACAGGCTTCGAACGACACATGGCAGATTAAAAAGCATTTGAGTTTCGGAATAGACAAAATTACATGACTCTTTTTGGATTCGAAGTTCCGACAACCTCGCGACGGCCATGCTAAGATGATGCTACGATGATAACGCATGCATGACTGCAGGCAGATTGGCAAGGCAGAATGTCTGGCAGTAGACATATCAAATCAATACAGCTCAAGTGTCACCTTTTCTCCACCGCAACGCATGTTGAAAACTTGATATACCTAGGCAAGCGGGACTCCCACAGTCACTTTTTACGATGACAGCCGCATGATTATCACTTAACAGGTGAGGCAGATATCGTGACAAATTTTACCTCAACCAGACTTCCGACCTGCATCAACAACAGCACAGTGAGATTCTGGTGATGTTGCGTTGCCAAGAGTTACGATCTCCTGCCAAGCAAGCGGAAACTAAGACTCAATCGGGGTTGGACAAATAGCCAATATTTCTGCCAAGAAGGGGTTCCAAGTCTAAAGGGCCGAATTTTGGGGCGGAAGGTCGCTGGCGCGTATTGGGATGTTCGAGACATTTGTTTTTGATTGAGCAGACGAAAGGGGGCTTGGACGAACACAAACAAAACATGAGCTTTCTGGACAAGCGCCTTTGGCGGGAAACATGGCGTATCCTGTACAACCACCCGAAAGAATACTAGATGGGGGTTCATTAGCAGAGTGCTGAGTAAACAACGTTGGAGCTATTGAGGTTTCGGGCACGCCAATGGCATCCAATAGTCTCGTCCGGAGCAAGCTGCACATCGCACGTGGTGGTTGGTGCGATTGAAACAACCCCGCGATGCACTGCCTCAATGACAGCGAAGGAGGGGGCAAGCTGCGGCAGTTGGGTTACCTCTTTCTGCGTTCGTTTGATGGTCGATTGGGTTGGCTACCGTTGGGAGGTTGTGAAATGTTGCCGCCGTATGGCATCTCGGATGTTGTTGAGCTGCACATCGCGACGACGGGAGGACTGCAGAGGCCGCCAAAGGGTGGGTGGGTGCAAGCAAGACACGAGAAAGGGTCTGGAGCGGGCTGCGCTGTGTGTACGCAGTATTGGCACGAGGCGATTCTGCTCCGCGAGGTAGGTAGATCGCCACTTGGCCCGATGTTTCTCATCCCCGGTGTTGCGGAAAGAGTTTCGCTCTGAGTTGCTCAGCCTCAATCCATGTGCCGCATCGATGACGGTGTGCTTCCCGGTTGGTCCATCGCAGTCGGGGCTAGCTAGACATATCGGAAGATGCCATGTCGGATTGAGACAGCGGCCTTCGGTAGGATTCTGACCATGTTCCTTTTCCTTTCCAGCGCCCGTCGTTAAGGGTGCCTACTTTGATGATGTCGAAGGCTGTTTTCATGGCCTGGCATGGTTAAGGAATGCGAGGTAGTCCGCGTGCGTTGTAGAGGCGAGCCGAGCGAGGTGAAGAAGGTATGACTGGGGCCCGATGTCGTTGCCGAAACTTGACAGGCAGAATAAGATCACTCGTGCCAAGTGAGCGAAAGAAAGCGCTTGCTGGACTGCGAGTCAAGAGGGTAGAGAGGTGGTGATGGGACGAAGTTGCGATTCCTCACGTTCATGCTATGGCGTGCGGCCCGGCGTTAGGCATTCTGGGCGGAGAGGGACGACCTTGGGCCGACTGGTGGACGGTGCATACGCCCGTGATGTTTCGTCGGCTCTCGGATGCGTGGGCACCGGACCATCCGCGAAATGGGAAGACACCGACTGGGGGCGTTTTGGGAGCTGGACAGCACCTGTCGGTCGGAGGACTTTCGGGACGGGGGGTGGGATATGTTGTGCCCCCCTTCTTCTCTCAGCAAGCAAGATTTGTTCATGTGTCTTGTCTTCCATTTTGCCAAGAATTTGTGCTGAACCTTGGACGGCACTTGTGTGGAATATGCTTCTCAGAGCTTGTTTCTGGCCGTCACCCCATCCGGTTGGTGGTGTGTTGGCTGGCCCGCAGGGAAACGCGAAGTTCGCGAACGAACAATTGAGATGCCAGCCGGGCGCGATGTGGGTTACGGATATCCCGCGTTCAAGGATTCATGAGGGGTTTTTCTTGCTTGCCTCCTTGCTTGGCTGCTTCTTCTCTCATTGAGCAAGGACCTAGGGCTATCCAAGGATTGGAAGCATTCCAAGCGAGTCCGTAGAATTTTGGAAGAAAAGTCCCGGACGCGCATCGTTCAATGTCACTGACAATCGCGGTAACGGGAACCATGGGTAGAGAATCACGACCCTTGTCTAGCGAGCCCGAGTCAATTGAAGGAGGGCGAGGAGACCGGGGCGCCCAGAGCGGCAAGCGAGACGGGTCGAACCAGGAGGTTTTAGCAAGACCAAGGAGAAAGGGCGAAGCTCTCAGCAGTGCCAGGTTTGCAGTTGTGTTGTCTTGTGGAGACTGGACTCGTGAAAGGCATTGAAGTGAGGGACGGAACCTTGAAAAAAGTCTTGACGAGGCCCCGGAAATCTAGACCGTTGTCCACCCGCGGGTCGTGACGCTGAGGTCCGATTCGGCAAGGGCACCGATATGGCGTCCTTCTTTCATGTCGGTAAGGGAATTAACTAGTGGATACCGCCATTCCGGAGCAAGCAGGCGCCAAAACAAACAGGCGGAGCGGCAGATTGCCAGGTAGGAAAAAGGAGATGGACGAGGGTGCTCTTGATCGTGCTCCGGGATTTCCACCCTTATTCTTTGCTTTTCAATACCTAGCCATGGAACCTATGCAGCGGCATGAATCACAGGATACCCGGTGGGAAATTTGCATCCATCGCCACAGCCTGCAATGGATTATGGGCAAAAGCATTGTGATTGCTCATTGCACAACACAGTCAGTGCTCCATAGAGATGCGCGGCCACCGTCGTAATTTGGTGGTTCCTTTGGGCCTTGGCATCACCGGCTGCCAAGAGGTCTCGTCTCTTGTTCAGGTTCGTTGCGCCGTTGTCTTTGCCCTTTGTTGCGGGCTGCGGTTGAGTTGAATCATTCGAATTTCGATAAAACTGGCGACCTTGGATGCCGAGACATGCCATGCCATGTCATTCGATGGAATGGAATGGCCACCGTACTGTGGGTTGGGTCTATTGACTGAGCATTGTCGATGATCATTCCCTGATACTTTTGCGATCCTGAACAATGCGCAAGGTGCTGACGTGACGTGCCTGGCTGCGGTCAGAAAATGGGTTCCAGAAGCGGTGATGGAATATGAGAGTTCCGCTTGCCAGCCACCCACTTCCCGAGGAGACATTGATACCAGTATCCTTAGAGGACTGAACAGCGCTTGGTGGTGGCTTGACTTGGCAACTTTAGCTGGTCACCAATAGCTTGGACGAGCGAGTGAGAGAGCGTGCGATGCGAGCCAACGGCAGCCCCTCGTCTGCATCGTCAAAGGCAAGGCGGAATAGAGGGATCAACGGTTGTGTAAGCCGCCTGCCGCAAGCCCGCAAGGTGCAAGCGAGTGAGGGGTAACAGCTTCGCGAAGAGGTGTGTGAGGTGCGAATGGACTCTGCGGCGTCATCATGCATGATTGATTTCTCTACTGAACTCTGCACATCTACGGATACTAGCGGGCAGTCTGTTCAGCACTGCATCCAACAGGTGCTCCGTGCAGTGCAGCAGCAGCGTCCAGGTGCGTCGGTGTGTTGGTGTTGGTCTGGCCTCGTTCGACGACGACGTCTTCTCCAGAAATCTAAAGGTTATCTGGCGTTGCAGTTCATTTGTGCGCACATCCATGACCGCTAGCCGGACGTCTTGCACAAGCAACCTGATGAAATTTAAGGTAGGGGCCAACCATGCAGAGTCGAATGCAATTCCAGAGCCCCATCGGTTGGCATGAAGAATGGCTTGGCGTTTGGCATCTGGTGCGGTTGCCCCGCCGTTTTTTGAACTTTGTACTTTTTGCGACTGGAAGGATTGATTCAAGGAAAGCCCGCCGTCGGCGCACTCGTCAGCCAGATCGCCCGGCTTTGCTGGTGCACGGAGTAGTAAACTGCGGCTCCGAGATGCCTGACTGGGAAGCTCGCAAATGGATCTGCTACCGCCATAGGCAAGTGGTATCATGATTCATCCGTCGCCATTGAGCTGCCGAGGCATTCATTGGCGGACACTTGCAGACTGCAGTAGCAAAAGTCCTCCAACTAGGCTGCAAAGTCTTTCCACCGGCTGGAGCAGGAGAAATGCGATATGGCATCTCATCTCGCACTCGTACAAAGATGATAAACTAACTCATGGGACGCAGACGGTCTGAACATGAACCCCTCTGACAAGGCTCGACCTTGCGCAGTCCATGCCAGCAACCCCATATTACCCCAGCCTGCCTGCACGAGACTCGAGAGCAGCACAAAGAGGCAAGGCACATTCACAATCGTCCAGACATGATACGCAGGTGTCTGAGTTGGATGCGGAAAGGGCAGTTGGTGCTCCCGTCGAGAACGCCTGCTTCATGCTGCATGGGACAGCCTTGAAGCCTGGAGGACGACACCGGATTCAATGCCCCCCCAACGCAACGCAACGCACGGTAACTGGGAGGCACGGAACGGAAGCATCGAATACTGATTGGAATTCTAAAAGCCTGTGTGCCATGCTGAATGGTGGTGGTGTTCCTGGTCTGTCGATCCTGGCTTTCCGTCGCCTCACCATTCCCAGCGTCCAGTCAGCGGCCGATACCGATCGACGCAACCTGGCGCACTGTACGCGTTTTGCAATGCTGGAGATTTTCCGTGGTTCCTCGGATGTGTTTTTTGTGTATGCGTATGCGTACTAATGTGTGATATCGTTGCGTTTTGGACGGCCAAGCTGACGAGTTCGTTTGGACTTGACCGCAGACGACAGAGCAAACGAAAGAAGGCGTGATCAAATCTCGATCTTGGGCGGTCTTTGGCGGGTTGTTTCTTTTTTAGTTTC